CCGGTAAAGTCCCACTGTGGGAAATGAGATGGTGAATGTTTTCAAGTGCAGTATTTACATCCCCTGCCAAACCCTTCACATCTGCCCAGCTCTGCCGTCAAGGCTCCATCCATCTGGCCGGGAACAGCAGGTCCTCCAGCCTGCCTGCATCCCACAAGGGCATTTCCTTCCTGTGCCCTCAGTGCCAGCTGCCAGCGATGCTGCTCAGCGGGAAGGGTTCRAGCGAGAGCTCTGAAAGGACCGGTTTGATTTTTCTTGGAGTGCACGTGAAATGAATTCCCAAGCTCTCTGAAGCACWTCCTGCCTGAGATCTGTGTGCTGAGGGGCTGAGGGGGGTGATGGACACCCCGGGGATCTGTGTGCTGAGGGATGATGGACATCCCCGGGTTTGTCCCCCTGTGACAGCCCTGCCACTGTTCCCAGGAGCCCCGGGCAGTTTGGAGATGCTGGGTGGGGGCAGTGGGTGCTGCTCCCCTCCTCCTAAATCCTGCCAGCTCCTGTCTCAGCACCCACGGGATGAGGAGTTGTGCCCGCGGGTGGGGATCCATCCCCATGTTGCCTCCCCGATCTCCGCAGCACCAGGGTCAGACATCCTGGCTGTGCTTCCCTCTCTGCAGTGGGACRGGCTGTGACAGGGCCACCCCTCTCTGGCGCTGTCCCCCACCCCCTGACAAATGGCAGCTCTGTTTCGGTCATTCCCAGAGGTTTACCGGAGGTGCAGCGCCAGCGGCAGAGCTGTGGAGCAGCACCGGGGGTTCTGCCGCAGCTCCCGGTCCTTGTCCCGCTCCAGCCGATGCCACATCGCCCTCTGTGCCCGCTGTGCCCTCCCCTGACCCCGCTGTCATGTGTTCCCTCTGCAGAGTGCGATTGCCACCCCGTGGGAGCTGCCGGCCAGACCTGCAACCAGACCACGGGCCAATGTCCCTGCAAGGACGGTGTCACCGGCATCACCTGCAACCGCTGCGCCAAGGGCTACCAGCAGAGCCGCTCACCCATCGCCCCCTGCATAAGTAGGTGGATCTTCTTTCCCTGTCTCTAGAGCAGAGATCTGAACCCTTTCAATCCTGAAGGAGCCTCTGTCCAGGCTGGGGGGCTGCTGAACTCCCCCAGCACTCGGAGGACAGAGCTACCTAGGGACCTCCCACCTCCACCCCACCCAAACATGGTCCCAAACCCAACCCCAGCTTCCAGCAGCTCACCTGCCCTGTTGGGTGGTTCTGTGAGTGCATCCACAGCCCTGTTTGCTGTGAGTTTTATTTTGCTCCATGGAACAGAGATGGCCCAAGAACACTTTTATTTAGAGGTGCCACATTAGGGCTGGATGCTAAGGCAGATCACCACAAACAGGTTTTGTTCTCCACAATCAGGCTGTGCTGCCCTGGCACAGGGCTCAGCTCAGAGGAGCTGCTCAGGTGATGGAGCTGCCATCACAGCTGAGCCCCGGGATTGGGGCTCCTGCCCTCACATAGCCCTCCCAGAAACACAGACAGTTTTACCGTTGGCTTTCTTGGGTTTTCTTCAATCTGCCTTCCCAAGGCTGCTCCCACCCTCTACCCTTGAAACAGCAGCAGCTACAGCACCCAGWGTGCCTCCATTGCAGCATCTGCTTTGCAAACACCCAGATCCCACCCAGCCCCTGCTGAGCTGGGAAGTTGGGTTTTAGCCYTGTGCCTCTCTCTGCTGCCTGTGGGGTTTGCTGCTGTTGGATCATTCAGTGGCTCATGCACCTTGAGTGACATCTTCACTCACCCTAACAAAACAAAGCATCAAAATTAGTGTGCCTGGGATGGGATGGGATGGGATGGGATGGGATGGGATGGGATGGGATGGGATGGGATGGGATGGGATGGGATGGGATGGGATGGGA